TCCTAAAACTAAAAATCTCTAATAAAAATAAAAATTTGGAAATTTTTAGAAATAAAAACCAAAAACTTCAAATTAATTTTGATATTCATTGACCTCATAATTACTATTTTTTAAAAATATCAAAATTAATCAAATTTGAATTTTTTTTAATTTTGGTATTAATTAATCTCAAAATTAGTTCTAAAGTAGGTATGTAAATAAATTTTCATAAATATGTAAAAATAAAAACCAAAAAGTAAAATTAATATCATAAATTTTGAAATTAAATAATTTAGAACAAAACAAAATTTTAGAAATATTTAAAAATAAAAAAATTTAAATTAATTTCAAATTTTCCAAAACTAGAAACTTTTGAATAAAAATAATTTTTTGAAAATATTTAGAAATAAAAAATTTAATTTTGATAATTATTAATCTCATAATTACTATTTTTGGTAAATTCTGGAATTAGTTTATTTCAAAATTGGTTTTAAATTTAGAATAAATTAAAAAAATAGGAACATGATCTAAATTTGCTAATTTAACTAAAGTTATATTTTTTCCAATAATTCCTTAAAATATTAATCTATTATACATAAATTTGGTATAAAAGTTAAAAAATTGCAACTATCTAAAAATATGAAATAAAAAATTCAAATTAATATCATAAATTCTAAAATTTGGAGTAAAAATAAATATTTGAAAATAAAAAACAAAAAACTCAATTTAATTTTAGCAATATCAAAGCTAGAAAAAAATATAAATAAAAATAAATTTTGCATAAGATCTAAAAATTAAATTTGAAATTAATTTTGATTTTCATTAATATCATAAATACCATTTTCGATAATTTTAGGAATTAATTTATTTTAAAATTGATATTAAATTTAGAATAATTTGGAAAATAAGAAGACAACCTAAAATTTTAATTAAAGTCAATTTTTTAAAATTTTTGAATTTTTAGAGTGTTGATGTGTAGTTTAGAAATTTGAATATGGTAACTTAATTTTTAGAGAGGTAATTATGAACTTGGGGTCGCTTAATCTCCATTGGTAGCTGATCGTTCTTGTTGGGAGTCTTGAGCTATAATTTCGTAGACATGTAGTAGAGATTAGAGGTCCTGGAGGTTGTTTCATTCAGCGTGCCCTCTAACGCTCAAGTCAGTGACCGTTCTGATTAATCTAATGAAAAAAATAGAGTATAGTCTTATTACCTTTTTGTGTGTAAAATTGCATACCGTAGTATGGTGAAAATTACCATTATTTATAGAGGATTTATGGGGATGCACTGGTAATTTGGTTAGGTTTGTGCTGTGATGGGTCCGACCATGCTTCACTTGTGTCGGCAACTGGTCGGACGAGTCACCATTGCAATAATGATAAGGTTGATGAAATACAAGTGTGTCCAATGAGCTTTGAAGGATCTGGCTCGAAGGGTCATAATGATTGACATTGCATTAATGGCGACCACGACTGAGTGGTGAAACGTGGGAGTTAACTGGTCACACACTAAATGTGATGTGATGAAGTTGAGGGGTTGTTCTTCTACTCAAGACGCTCGGTGTCGGATCTGAGTGCAGAATATTTTTCGTCTCAGATGTTAGCTTTTAGCATATCCAAGTCAAATGCACCTTTCGTCTTGGATTTGGGTCACGAGATAGGTCGGTTGACTACGCACCCACATTGTGCTCTTAGATGTATGTGAGCTAGCCGACTAGTTATCACATGTGGCTGTTTCTTGAAGTTTCATTAGGCTTGGCAATTTCCATGGTATAACAATTATAAATGTAGTAATTTCAAATTTTCAAAATTTTTGGACATTGACTAGATTTGAGATAACTTTAAGAATATTAATTATTATCTCAATACATATTAACCATAACCGTAAAAGTTGGACTATAAAACTTAATTTGTAAATATAGTCTCTGTTAATATAATATTATCTCAATACATATTGACCGTTACTGTAAAAGTTGAACTATAAAACCTAATTTTGTAAATATAGTCTTTGTTAATATAATTTCTACACATATTAAATACAACATTCTTTAGCAAAAACACCCAATTAAATCTGGCACGTGCATTGCACGTGCCCCTACTCACTAGTCTCCTAAAAACCTATGAAATAGATTTTCTTAACTAAAGGACTGTTTCGTTATTGGCTAAAAGTTTGTTTGGTTGGCTAGTAGAATTGCAGCTATAAATACTACAACCAAATTTCTGATGGGAACTCAGGGCTGAGCCCTTTTCAGATTAGGGAGAATGATTGAGCTCTAGAGGTGGATTTAGCCTACATGGACCAATGACGCTATAAGGGTCAAAGTCAGTGGAACCTCAAATAGCTTAGAATCACGCAAAAGACCGATTATTTCAAAGCTCTCAGAAAATAGTCATCATCACATTAGGATGCCAAAAGCAGTGTATGCGACCTCCCCTGAATTCACAAAATCTCATCATTTTGGGCCTCAAAATCATGGTCAAAAATTTTCTTTCTGTTTTAAGCGGGATTTGATCGTCCAATTTGGAGAAGTAGATAGATCCCATTTTGGCTAAAATGACCCTCTTTCCTAGTAGAAGAGTCTTTAGTTTTTTGCCTTTTTTTCTTTCTATTTTTTAGTTAAAAGATATTATTTTCATCTTTTCCTTTTCTTGTCGTGTCTACAAAAGACTCTTTGGAGCTATGCATTAGCTTTTGAAAACTAAAAACCCTAGTTATTGGATGTGGCTATTTATATGTGTTCTCTCTATTTTTTTTTGCATCTTTTACAATTTTGATCTGGTTGTATCACTAGCAGGACTGCATCAATTTCTATTTTGAGTGTTTGGTAAGCAACAAATTAGTTGAGAAAGGTAATTGAATTTACATATTGTAGAAAAAAGATGCATCGTTTGTCATAGCCAATTTCCAATTTGACGGCAATAAATGTTGCAATTCTGTTTCTTAATGTCATATCATTAAGTTAGTTAAAACAATCAGAAAATATAGATCTTTTTACAATCATTTTAAAAAAATACTTGATTTGCAATGAAAACAAATCATTCAAATGGAACCAAACACTAGACTTAGATTTGAAAATACATTTTCGATAAATGAAATGCAAATACACAAATGATGATTTTGAAATTACCCGGACAAATGTTGCATGAAGCATCTATTGTATGCAACATTTGCTGTGCTTACAAATGCAGCATACCAAACAACCACTACGCGTCAATCATCCAATGAAAATGTGACATGTAAATCTTTTTTCAATTTCATCGTGAAAACCAAACAAAAAAACAAACTATTTTTAAGAAAATTGTTTATGAAATGAGTTTCTTTCTAAAAATAGTTTTCTAACATTTTCCTATGCAACCAAACAACCCCCAAAGGGCTAAAAATTAAAAAGAGACTTCATTCTATTATTTAAAAATAAAATAAAAGGAGACTACAGTGAAAAAAGATCATAATATTAATGTTAATACTGTCAGAAATATTGTATAAATTAGTATCAATATCGTAATAAATAGTGTATTCAAAATCATGATACATATTATTAAGGTTTCACTATGTAATGAGCGAGATTAGGTATTACAATATTGTCATGTTCATAACAACAATTAATTTTTTTAACTAATAATTAATGTCAAATAAATTGAAATCACATTAAATTTAAACGAAAAGCTATAGAAAAGAAGAAATAAAAGTGTATAGAGAAAAAAGTAAAAAGTATTTAATATAATACAAAATGGAAAATCAAATAGCTAATTATCTCTGAAGTATTCAAATTTAATTATTAAATTTATGGAAATTTGATGGCCACGTCTCTAAGAATTTGTTAATCGGCAAAACAACAAAATTAGAGGGACCGTGTTATTGCTTTATTATTATTATTTTTGGTTAATTACAAGGTATCCCTACATTGAGGGTATGTTTGTTTCGGAAAAAAAGACCGAAAGTGGGGGAAAGTGGGGGAAAAGCAGATGAATTTTGATGTTTTCCTCCACTTTCAGAGGTTTGGTTCGTCAAAGCTATAACCGAAAGTGGTGGAGAAAATGAGTTGTCACCATATTATTGGTTGATGTGAGTAATTTTTGATGTTTTCCTCCACTTTTATTGTTTAGGTTCTTTTCTTGTGTTTGGTTCATTCTTAAAAGTAGGGGAAAATAGATGAGATGAGATGAGTTGTCATTATATTATTGGATGATGTGACACATACTTAGGAAAATCAATTTCCTTTTTTTATGAATAGGGATGGAAGGAAATTTTAATGAGATGTGATGAGTTGTCACCATATTATTGGATGATGTGAGTTATTTTTAAAGATGATAGAAAATGAAGAAAAGTGGGGGAAAGTAAGTTTGATGAGTTGATTGATGTGACTCATTTCTTGTGTTTTGTTTATTTTTAAAAGTATGAAATGAGATGTGATGATGAGTTGATTGATGTGACTCATTTCTTGTGTTTTGTTTATTTTTAAAAGTATGAAATGAGATGTGATGAGATGAGTTGTCATTTCTTGTGTTTTGTTTATTTTTAAAAGTATGAAATGAGATGTGATGAGATGAGTTGTCACAATATTATTCGAGGAAAATAGAGAAAGTGAAGGAAAGTGTGTTTTGAAAAGAAACAATGATAGGGGCACACCCTCTACCACACTTCCAACCACACCACATCTCTTGCTACAGTACACATGACCCACATGAGATTTTAATTTTTAAAAACTCATGTAGACCCCGTGCACTGTAGCAAGAGAGGTGGTGTGGTTGGGAGTGTGGTAAAGGGTGTACCCCTAGTGCCTCTCTTTGAAAAGTGGGGGAAAGTGAAAAAGTAAAGAAAAATGAGTTTTGGAATCTGGGGGAACCGAAACAAACAAGCCCCTGAGTCTAATCTTCACTAGCACTTAGTCGGCGGCTCTCCGGTGGTTTTTTCAGCACGTTGTTTTATGTTTGGATGTTAGTTGAAGACTGTTTATCTCATTATCTGTATGTACGATTTTCTATAAAGACCCCTGTAGGATTTTTCTTTCCAATTTTATCTATATATCAGTTGTCAGCGTTCTTTTCTTTGGGATAGATAAAACACCTCTTTTTTAATTATCCCCAAAGTTTGATTATATATATATATAGAGAGAGAGAGAGAAAGAGTGAGTGAGTGAGTGAGAGGGAGAGAGAGAGAGAGAAATGGGAAAAAGAGGAGATGGAGGTGAAGAGAACATGGCAGCTTGGCTGGTTGGTGTAAACAATCTCAAGATCCAACCATTCAAACTCCCACCTCTTGGTAACTTATCATACCCTTTTATTATCCATTTTTATTGTTCATTCTTGTTCCAATTTCCCCCCTTTTCTTATTCTTGTTGTGATTGTTCGGTCTTCCTTTAAAGAATCAATATTGATTGTTTAATGGTTCTGAGATTCCAATTGGGTTATTTGGGTTTATTGATAATGGTTAAATTTTGATTCTTTTTGAATGTCAACGTGCTAGCTAATAAAAAAATTCCCCTTTTTTTCTTATTATTTTCCTAATTTCTTTTAGGCCCACATGATGTTAGAGTTCGGATGAAGGCTGTGGGTATATGTGGCAGCGATGTTCACTATCTTAAGGTTCAGATTCTTTTACCTCTTTAGTTCCCCTTTGTAATGGACATATGATGAACTTATGCATGATAAAATTGCGATCCTGATTCTTAAAAAAAATCCCATTAATGATCTTTTTTACCTCTTTATTTTCCCTCTTTGTTAGGAACTTGTGAGGAATTTATACATGAGGAAATTGTGATCTTGATTCTGAAACAAAATTATCCAATTAACTATCACTTAACCTCTTATTTTTTTCTGTTTATTATGGACTTATGATGATTTCTTAAATTAAGTCTCTCTTACCATTAGAGCAAAACTCCGATGTTATGGTGAGGGTTGAGAGTTATATTTTTATATTCTAACATGCCCTCGCAGGTTGAAGTTGGGTTGCTCTGATACCTTTTTAAATTAAGTCTCGCTAACTATTACATCAAAACTCCGAAGTTATGGTGAGGGTTGAGGATTATATTTTTATATTCTAACATGATTCAACTCCTGCTTGATTATTACCCAATTAATCATCATTTTACCTTTATAATTTTTTTCTCACTGTCTTAAAGGATATATGGCTCTAGCAGATATATCATTCACTATGGAAGCATGCCAAAGGAAGAAAGAAAATGTTTAAAGATTTGGAGAGTAGTGAAAGAGGAGGAGAGCGAGGGAAAAGTTTTTTTAACCTTATTTTGTTAATATCTTGCTCATCTTGTGAGTGTAACATAACTTTCTCTTTTATAGAGAAAATATTAATCATAACATGACCATACTAATTCCCATGGTCATGCTAGTTACAATTGGCAATGAATGATATAACAATATTTCAATCTTTTTCTAATGTAAACTTCCCAACATGATGATCTTACGCAGTATAAAGTGATCTCAATTATTTTCCTTTATGTTAATTACTAAATTTAGGCTCTTTGACTAGTTATGATTATTATTTTGTTGTACAATATTTCAGACGATGAGATGTGCACATTTTGTTGTTAAAGAACCGATGGTGATCGGACATGAATGTGCTGGCGTCATTGAAGAGGTTGGGAGTGAAGTGGCGTCTCTAGTTGCAGGTGATCGCGTGGCATTAGAGCCCGGGATCAGTTGTATGCGCTGCAAACATTGCAAGGGTGGGCGATACAACCTTTGTCCAGAGATGAAGTTCTTCGCGACTCCCCCTGTGCATGGCTCTCTTGCTAATCAGGTTTCTCAACTTCGAGATGCTATTTATTTATTTAGATGTCATAATTTTCATGGCAGGTTTTCTAATGAATGAAGTAACAACTTTCTTTTGGTCTTTGTTAGAGCATAGAATTGTGACCTATGTTACCCGGGTACTTCTATAATGAAGCTGTACCCGTACCGGACACGTACCCGACACTTTCCCGTACCCAAACTTCATGGACACTTCTTGAATATATGCATGCATTTATTACAACATGTACTTAATTATACGATATATGTGTTAATTTAAAACACTTGTCAAATATGCATGCATTTATTACAACATGTACTTAATTATACGATATATGTGTTAATTTAAAACACTTGTCAAAAACTTCCTAGACGTAGAGCTTACACTTCACATCCGTCTTTTGAAACTAATGAGACACGGGTCGGGTTCATTTCAGTCCATACCCAAGTTCAAAACTATATAGTTAATGGGTCGTTTAGATGTCTAGTAATTTACAATTCACAATAATCAATATGATAAAAGAAACTCAAAAATGTAATCGGAATTTTAATTCTAATGACACATGAAGCGGGAAAATTATATCTCATGTACATTATTAATTCAATATATATATGTAGCCGTGTCCGTGTACCCTACATTTTACAATTTTGTCGTGTCCCCTACCCGTACCCGCACCCATACCAGTACCCGTGCCCGTTTTCATGCAACTTAGATTGTGACCATTAACCCTCATCAGAACTTAACTTGAGGTGACATGTTAGTATATATTGTACTATTGAAGTACCAGCTTCTAAGTTTTGGTGCAGTGGGAGGACTTTATAGTCAACAATCACTACATAGTTCTCCAACATGTCCTATTTGTTCTTATCAATGAGAATTGATTATAACCAGAGTTCATAAGCAAACCCATGATTTGACAGAAGTACATCCTTACACATTTTAGATTATAAAGTTATAACCTTCATTTTTCTCAACATCTTCGGAGTTTTGATGCTGTGATCGAATCTCCTGTGTTCAAATATATACTCTTTTTTCCATTTTGTGAAACAAATATAATTTTATGTATTCCATGAAAAATCATATCGCACCTAATGCATATCCTAAGTAGCTCTATTTTACTAGGCTTCCTATCCCTCTTTTCTTGGAAGATATTCCGTCCTGCCTTAGTTGTAGAGAGGATTGTTTGGAGAAAACATAAAAGATGTATAGAAAGTCGTAGAAGAATAAGAAGTGAATACAGCCTACATTACCCCATTCTTCTTATATCTCAGTTGGTTACAACCATGTTTTCTTAAGAGTAATAAGCATGTTGCTACTGTGGAATATTTATCAACCCCTAAACAAGTTAGAAATTAAGGTATAACCATCAAGTTTCACAACTTTGCATTTCTGGTGCAATTACAGGACCATCTAAGTTCAAATATAAGCTCCTTTATCCCTATTCCTCTTGTTGACTGGTTTGATTGTTCCATGGAAATCATATTGAAGCAAATGCTTATGTAATTAGCTTTATTACTAAGCCTTCTGATTCTTTGCTTCTTGACAGATAATCCATCCTGCTGATTTATGTTTCAAGCTCCCTGACAATGTGAGCTTGGAGGAAGGAGCAATGTGTGAGCCCCTTAGCGTTGGAATCCATGCTTGCCGCCGTGCTGTGGTTGGTCCTGAAACAAGTGTGTTGATTATGGGAGCTGGACCTATAGGATTAGTGACAATGCTTTCAGCCCGAGCTTTTGGCTCGCCGAGAATCATTGTGGTGGATATCGATGATCATCGTCTTTCAGTTGCAAAGTCTCTTGGTGCTGATGGTGTTGTAAAGGTTTCTACCAACAATCAGGTTTGACGTCCTCATCCTTTGATTTTTGATGTGCAATATGTTGGTTGTTATTAAAAGGGTAAATTTCACGAACATCAGTATTTTGCATAAAACTGCTCTAAACTACATAAGTTAGAGAAAATCCTTTAGAACTTTCAATGTTATACAATACTCATGAACTATTGAAATTGTTATAAGTGGCATTAACGTGATGGGTAAAATGTCCAAGTACACCCTTTTCAGTCTCTACGTAGCACAACCTGAAGAAGAAGGTATTATAGCAGACATGTTAAGAACACAAGGGTAAACTTTGTCCAGATATGTCATATGCAACTATCGTTGTTCATGATATTATGCTGAAATAAGTTGAAAGTACATTTCAGCCTTGTTGTTGTTTAGTATGAATTTTTCTTTGTTTCTTACTTTCTTGTTATTAAAATTTGTCTTGCTATTCATATCAAATATTGATATCATCAACTATGAAGAGACCTTAAGGTTTGTCTCACATCTGTTTAGTACCATTTTTGGTTTTTGTCTAACAAAGACATGAAGATGGGACTTGGTCCCACATAGGAAAAAAATAATAGTTAGATGGATATATCATTAGATATGTTAGAACTCATGAAATCGAATTGAGATAATAGTTTGAGATAACGATTTCCAAGCAGATTAGTGTGGTCCATCTTTGTTCATAGTTCTTTCCAACCCAACAAATCATGGTCTTTTTCTTCTCCTACTCCTAATGACAATCCACGTGTCGATCCTTGTAAGAATTGCTTTTTTTTTCTCACGATCATTATCCCATTTTATTTAGGATGTGGACGAGGAGGTAACTAAGATACAGTATGCTATGGGCACCGAAATTGACGTGAGCTTTGATTGTGCTGGCTTTAGCAAAACAATGTCAACAGCCCTAAATGCAACTCGTGCTGGTGGTAAAGTTTGCCTTGTGGGTATGGGACATAACGAGCTGACAATTCCTCTAACCCCTGCTTCTGCGAGGTAATCAATCTCCCAAATCAGTGTACATTTTCTTTTAAAAAGAACTTACTACTCAGGTTATTATGATATTTTGTTAAGTAACATATACTATGATGATATACATAGATTGAAAGCTAGCCCGTATTTGGAAAAAGAATTTTTCACTTCAAACCTCTAACAACATCTTCATCTTTTGTTTCTACGACAGGGAGGTTGATGTCATTGGTATCTTCCGTTACAAGGACACTTGGCCGTTATGCCTTGAATTTCTGAGGACTGGAAAAATTGATGTGAAACCTTTGATAACACATCGATATGGTTTTTCACAGAAGGAGGTAGAGGAAGCATTTGAAATGAGCGCTAGTGGAAGTACTGCAATCAAAGTGATGTTTAATCTCTAGATTTCAAGATGATGGATAATGTGAAAATTAAATAAATAAATCGAAGGCTATATCTTGTATAAATACTGATAAATTCTGTGGAGAAATACTATGGAAGAGAACCATTGTTATCTAAGCTTTGACTATATGGAGAAATAATATAACCATTCACTAACCTTATTAATGTGTGTGATTCAATCCTAGCATAACCGATGTCACTAGTTCTCCATGTATTGTATAATGTCTTTATATTTGGGCTTTTTGCCCCCCATGTATGCTCTGAATTCTATCATATTGAAAATTACACTCTAGATCTAGATGTTTGCTAATTTGCCCCCAAATGCCCCACTTAAGTTTTTCTATCCCTTAATTTTCAATATCACTAACATACCCGTAGTAGAGTTAATTATAAACTGATAGAGGAGGGAAAACAGAAGTAGAAGAGGAGACGGGGAGGGGTAAATTAGCGAGCATCTCCTCTCTCATTCTCTTTCTCTATACAACTATAATAACTATAATTAATAACGTTAATTAAATTAACAAGGGGTGTAAAAATTAGGGGTGGCAGAACCGATGTGAGAGTTAAATTTGCAAATACGGTAGGTTTGGGGGTCGAAGTTGCAACAAGTACGGAGAGAATCACAGTCTGCGAACCAAATGTTAACGGGTAGAACGTATACGGGCCTAATCTCCCGTTGATCCGCCCCGGGCTCTATTGGCATCCATGGGTAAGTTAGGCCTCCCTATTTCGTGGTCATTTTTTATCCTGCTCCATCAATCTCTCAAAAACCCCTCTCCTCGCCCCTCGTATAAATTTCTCCCCCTCACACAAAATCAATGGCGAACTCCAACTCCGAACCCCAGGCCAAGCTCCAGCTCTTCCTTCAGTGGCTACAGGTTTTTCTCTTTCCTCTCTCTCTATCGCTAAAACCCACTTACAAAACTTCGAAATGAATTTTACAGGCAAATGGGGGGGATCTTCGAGGATGCAGCATCAAGTACTGTGGCCCTAACAAAGGATTCGGAATCTTCTCCAACGAGAAAACCCCAGGTGACGGCAAGTCTTTTAATCACCGGCTCTGCACTTTTTCTCTTTGTTAATGTGCAATGTGTTCCAATTTTGTTGTAGACATTGTCATGGTTGTCCCTTTGGATCTTGCAATCACCCCCATGAGGGTTCTTCAGGACCCACTTGTGGGCCCCAGGTGCCGGGCATTGTTCGAGGAGGGAGATGTAGATGATCGATTCCTGGTTATGATTTTCCTCATGGTAGAGCGGCTTCGGCCTGATTCTTCGTGGAAGCCGTAAGAGGATCTAGTCTTGTATCGAGTTTGTTCTATGCATTTTTTTGTCATATATGAATAGAGCAATGATGTTTTGGTTGGGAGAGGGGGGGGGGGCTATAATAAGGGTTCAATTTAATGTAATTGAGGTAGACTTATTCATAGCTAGAACAAATTTTCGATTTAAACCCATTTTAATTTTTTTATTAAAAAATTGACCCAATCCACTTTTTATTATCAAAACCGACCCATTTCGTGCCACGTCAGCAGCGTGGCACGAAATGGTCGGTTTTTTTTTAATGACGCCGCTAAATAGTCGGGTTGCCAACCCCGACTATTTAGTTATGTCGGGGTTGGCAAACCCGACTATTTAGCTAAGGGCACGCTAAAATAGTCGGGGTTTCCACCCCGACTAATTTAGGCCCTGCCTAATTGGTCGGGTTGGCAACCCCGACCATTTGACAGAGAGGTAGTGCTGTTCACTTCACTACGACAAAACTGTCGGGTTTGGGAACCCCGACCATTTTGTGTTCGTGCACAAAATGGTCGGGGTTCCCAACCCCGACCATTTGGCAGACTCTTCCAGCTGAAAATAGCTGGAAATACGAACTCCGCTGGAAATTCAAACTCCTGCTGTTACATATCAATCCACAATTCAATCACAATCACAATAACACACATACCAATCAATAATCTCAAATAAAAAACCATAATCAATCGGATACATGCCATACAATTCACATACTAATAATCAATACAATCCACTTATCATGTGACACTCTCTCAATTATGTCATCGGGCCTTAGTTCAAGCTTCTTCTTTAATCTTGGCATAATCAACCGAGCTATGTAAGAGGCGGAGGCACCACTGTGGTCTCTCTCGAACATTGGATTGTTACATGTATGAACACCGCAGTATTTTGTGATCCTAAAATACCCATTATGTTTCTTTCCGGCAAATGCATATAACTTCCAAGGACATGCGTAATCAGATTCATTCCCCTCTGCCCGACCTTGCCTTTGTGTATTCATAAAACAGATTGCCTCATAACTTGTACGATTGCTTTTAATTTGCTTGAATTTGACCAACTTTTTGATTGAGTAATCACGAATAGCATCTACCAATTGGTCTTTAGTCTCAAATAATTCACCAACTCTGAAAGGAACCTCCTCATCATCTCCTCTATTGGATGAACTTTCACCAATGCGGATATCATGTGCTGTGGAAGAACGAACCCACTCATCATCCTCAAACTCGTCGGGGGGTGGTTCTTCGTACTCCACATATTCATTATTAACATAAGCTTCATCTGGCCAATCCGGATTCTCTTCATCATCTCCACCCACAAATTGCATGCTGTCAAGTGGTGCACTATCTTCGTCTTCACCATCAGAGGCGTCGCTTCTTTCACCCTCTTCATATGAAGGTGCACCACCCTTATATTGAAATTGAGTCTGCTGTATTTCACTCGAAGAAGAAAGAAAGCCTTCAGACTCAACTTCCAAATCTAACATGCGTGAAAATTCTCCTGGAGGGTTGAATATTCGGCCCGTACTATGTGGCACCGTTTCAATAAACAATTCTACCATTGGTTGTGACTTGCTCAAATTAAACAAAATACTCATGGAATGATCGTTTGAGATCTCAACGGCGGACGTTCTATCATAAGTTATCGGCCAATTGCATATTATTTTTAGCCTGCAATCTCGTGGGTTAATTGTCGTAACTCCATGAATTTCATTAACCAAGTCAAGGTAACTGTATGATTCCGATATCATTAACGGAATTGTCACCCCTCCGACGTACATTGGCATATTATTCATTTCATACTTAATCGTTCCACCGTAAGAGCAAGCAATAAAAATCATACTGTTCAACCTATACAAATCAAAATTATATCATTTAAATACAAAAAATTTAAAAAATATTATCAATTAATACCCTAAAATCTAATTGCAACCCTAAAACACAATTACAACCGTAAACCCCTAAATCCTAAACCCTAAAATTGACCCCCAAATTCTAAACCCTAAAATTGAGTATTCTATGCCCCCAAATATTTAATTTCAACTACAACAAGAATAAAATTTCTAAATAAACCACTACAAATAGAGTTCAAACACTATAAATTCGTTTTGGAGAGAAAACCCTAGATTTCTAGGTGTCAAAAGAGGAGAGAAGGGAGAGAGTACCTGTTAGATCTTTCACCCCTAGAATTCCGCACAAAAATTGAGGTTGAAAGCTGCAATCCGTGGCTCAAAGAGAGTTTGGGAGGAGGAGATCGACGAAAATGAGAGAGAGAGACGCGGCTGGAACCGGAAATGAGTGAGAGAGTGAAGTCGTGACCTTTATATAGGTCGGGGGCCCAGTGAACAAATAGTCGGGGTTGTGAACCCCGACTATTGTCACTTAGCGTTTTTCACCACTCCGCGGCTGAGATAGAGTCTCTGCCAAATGGTCGGGGTTGGGAACCCCGACCATTTTGTCGTAGCGAAGTGAACCTCTCTGCCAAATGGTCGGGGTTGCCAACCCCGACCAATTAGGCAGGGGCCTAAATTAGTCGGGGTTGGCAACCCCGACTATTTAGCGGCGTCATTTAAAAAAAAAACCGCCCCATTTCGTGGCCACGCTGCTGACGTGGCACGAAATGGGTCGGTTTTGATAATAAAAAGTGGATTGGGTCGAATTTTTTAATAAAAAAATTAAATGGGTTTAAATCGAAAATTTGTTCCATTCATAGTATTCAGAACGTAAGGGTGGGCTAAGTAAGTTAATGGATAGTCTTTAGAGTGGAGCAAGAGAGAAGGGAAGTTAGGGCTTATTTGGATTGAGGGGAATAAGGGTGAAGGAAAGTTAGGGAAACTATTCACCTCCATTCATCTTATTTAGGAACATTTAGAAGGTGAAGTTATTCACCCTAGTTCCCCTTGCTTCACCTTCTAATAGTATAAAATTTGTTACCCCTCAAATTGGGGTGTAACCAAGGAGAAGGGAACTCCTCCCTTCCCTTCCCTTCCATTCTCTCACCTAGTTTTCATTAACTTCCCTTCACCCCCTACAAATCCAAACAAGCTCTTAGGAGAATCCATTCACTCATTTGGGAATTCTTTAGAGGGAACAAGGGAGAAGGGAAGTTAGGAGAAACCATTCACTCGTTTGGGAATTCTATAGGGGGTGAAGTTTTCCCCCTCCTTCGTCTAAGTTCACCCCAACAATACATAATTTGCTCACCCCCAAACTGAGGTGACACTTTAACGCAGAGCGAAAATAATAAACGTCAGAATCCATCAAGGATTGTTCTTCGAATCCATAAACAACGGACTTCAAATCCACGAAGAACTTCGAATCTACAAAGATAATACAATAAAGATGAAATTTTATTAATGAAAAGTTATCTAATACCATGAGGTTTACAATCATTCTTCTTAAACAAGAAAAAGCCTGCTCCTAATAAGAACATAATTCCTAAAATAAAGAAATAATTTAAAACTATCTAAAAGACTCTATAATAAAAGAAATAAATTAGTCCAAACTGAATCAAAATTGATTTTGTTTTCTAATCTAAATTGACTCAACTTTATTACTAAAAATAAACTCAAAGCGGATTATTTTCGGATTTCAGCCAAAACTGGGTATTACTGATGAAATTTTAAAAATCTAACAATCCAGTTGGATCCGTCTCGTTGAGATAGGCGATTTACATATATAATATGTCAGAATCCGCCTTCCGAGTTGAAATATATGATCGTTACTTTGCGAAAATCAATAATACGTATGTATGCACATTTAGCTCATGATTGACCTGCTCCTCTATGAAATTATTCATTAAACGTCCTACATTGGTCTCCCATTGCTGAAAGAAGCTCGACTCTGAGCTTATATTTGCTTGAATAGTAGCTTCGTCGATTAATATTTTTCAAAATATCTATCCACTTCATCAATTCAATTAAGAAAATTAATGAAATCATCTGCATGAAGCTTTTCATTGAATGATGGCATCTTTAATTCTCTAGCATCATGATTTTCCTTTCTTTGGTAGCCTCTACGATCATCGTTGTAGAATTTGTCTTGCAAAGTCAGATCTCATCTTTAGCGACCATCAATGCTATCTCGAACTCATCTTGGATTCAGACCGTCCACCGTCAATGCAAGTCACTCTATGGAAGTCTTCATCTGAGTAACTCCCGTCTTCAACTCATTGAACTTAATTCGGAAAATACAGGCTTCATCAATTGCATTGAATCAGAGAAACAATGCTCTGATACCAATTAATGCAGCGCGGAAGTAATAAACATCGGAATCCACCAAGTGTTATTCTTTAAATTTACAAAGAATAATTTTCGAATCCACAAAGAGAATATAATAAAGATGAAATTTTATTGATGAAAAGTTATCTAATATCATGAGATTTACAATCAATCTTAATTAGAAAAACAAAACCAAGTCCAAACAAGAACATAATTCCTAAAAGAAAGATATAGTTTAAAACTACGTGAAAGACTTCTATAATAAAGGAAACAAATTAGTCCAAATTGAATCAAAATTGATTTTATTTCCTAATCTAAATTGACTTTTAACTTTATTACTAAAAATAAACTCAAAGCTGATTAGTTTTGAATTTCAGCCAAATTTGGGTATTACTGATGATATTTTAAAAATCTGACAATCCAATCGGCTTTGTTTCGTCGAGATAGGTGATTTACATATATAGTATGTCAGAATCCGTCTTTCGGGTTGGAAGACATAGTTGTTTCTTTGCGAAAGTAAATAATATGTATGTATCCGTATTTAGCTCGTGATTGACCTTCTCCTCCATGAAGTTGTCCGTTAAATGTCTTATATCACACTTGGGGAAGGGAACTCCCTTAACTTCCCCTCTATTCTCTCCCCTATATTCCCAAACTTATCCTACCACAATGAAATGCCAAACACACCCTTAATGTTCTTGTGGATACTAGTGGATGCGAAGAGTTTGTTCTAAATGACATTAGGATAGCGGTAATTATAGTTTCAATAATGTTGATTATTTATTTGAAATGGGGCATATTTGGAGTGTTATTTCTGTTAACACTGTTTTAGTTGTAAACAAAACCTGCATCTTCTTGATTTCTCCCACTATGGGTAGGAGTATTTTCTATTTCCAACAAAACTTTAAAAGATTGATCGCTCTTTCTTATCCTGCGAAGAAGAACCTTACCCGACTCACTAATTTGGGCAAAGACTGAATTTTTGGATTTGACAATGTTTCTGAAAGATTTAGATATTATAGATCTGAATTCAAATTTTTGATTTCTAAATTGAAAATCCAAATCATCGGATGTGATCAATTGCAAATAAACTACTTATAAATAATATTCTCAAACTTCCCCTACCACAATGAAATGCCAAACACACCCTTAATGTTCTTGTGGATATTAGTGGATGCGAAGGGTTTGTTCTAAATGACATTAGGATAGCGGTAATTATAGTTTCAATAATGTTGATTATTTGTTTGAATATGGCATATTTGTTGTGTTATTTCTGATAACACTGTTTTAGTTGTAAACGAACCTGCATCTTCCTTATTTCTCCCACTATGGGTTGGAATATTTTCTATTTTCAACAAAACTTTGAAAGATTGATCGCTCTTTCTTATCACGCGGAGAAGAACCTTACCTGACTCACTAATTTGAGTGAAGATGCTGAATTTTTGGATTTGACAATGTTTGTGAAAGATGTAGATATTATAGATCTGAATTCAAAATTTTGATTTCTAAATTGAAAATCTAAATCATTGGATTTGGTCTATTGCAAATACTTATAAATAATATTTCTGATGATTTTAATGTGTATTGACCATGGATATTATGTTGTAAAAATCAACATTTCAAAATTTCTATAAAATCAAATAAATGTTTACCCCTTGATATTAATTAAAAACATGTTGAAATCATTGTTTTCATATCTCGGTAGTCCTTGCGTATTAGATTATATCTAACAGTGTATATTTTCAATTTGAAGATCCAATCTGTATTCATATCTTGAATACTGACAAATGATAGCCTTGGTTAACTCGTTTGAATGTAGTGTTTTAGATTGAATTCAAGTCTGAACTGGTAAAGGTTGTGATATTACGAGCAAAAGTAACCAGTATGATCAATTAAAGAGGTATGATCTGGAGTTGAGGCCCTTCAATGGGGGGCATGAAGGCTGACAGATAGAGCATTGGAATCTTTTCTTTTTGCATGATACTGGTTTTTTTTAGCAGAAGTGAGTGCAAAAAGTTTAGCTATAGTGTTGGTACTATAAAAGAA